CCCTCAATTCCCAGTAAACAGGCCAGACCACATCACAGTAATCTCGTAAAGTGGGTTGTTTAACCAAATCAACTAATTAATAGATGCAGGAGACGGGACCTCCATTTATTCGTCCCTATCCGAGAAGACTAGAATATCTAACCATTTCTTGATCGATGTTATAGAAAGGTAGCATATTCTTCTCAATTATTTTAAGACCCTGAGTGTTGGTCCGGCCGGGGCTCGAACCCTCGACCTCCCGCACAACAGTTCGGCGCTTAACCGATTGAGTTAACCGGGAGGCGGTAGAGAGCACCGGGAATGACAGCTTCTGACCCCCAGCTGCCGTCCGCGGCTTAAACGAATTTGTTTTGAAAGTCAACTCTGTTGCGTTTCAGTTATTATGTATTGCAATTAACTGATTCATATTCATATAGGGAACGAAAGGAGCTGCGGTGAGGAAATTGCTTCAATTTCCATGGATTCATGAATTGAATACAGCGCTATGAAATATCGAGTAATACTTTTCAAGTTCGCATTATTGTGGGAAATTGTAAGCGGAAGTCAGTATTGTGCTCTATATGAACGCGACTTAAATATATAAAAATTGGAAGAAAAATAACTTGGTGCTGAGAAAAAAATAGCGCAAAAGAAGGGATAAAATATCAAACAGGGAAATCAAAGGGAATTAGACAAAAAAAGGGCTAGTCCGATCAATCATCTTAAAGTGTTGAACTCAGTAGGTTACAGGGTGACATGATTTCCACTTTTTCAGTTTATTCTAGACTTTCACTCCTCGAGTTGTCGTAAATATAATTAGAAAAATAGCAGTGGTCCTTACGGTGATACACTACCGGCTTCGTGCCTAATTGTTCACTTCATCAGTTGACCCGTGCGGCGCTGTGCGCGCAATTCTTTAGAAAACCATGATGAAAACTGGCGTGTGTAGGTAGGACCGGAAGGGTGCACGTCAGCCGGTTCGGGGAAGACCTGTCAGGGTCCGCACTTGTTGCATTTTTCGAGAACTTAAATTACAATTTTGGACATCAACTTAAAAGAGTTATAGTTGAGAACGTAAGCCGAGTTTTTCGAAGAATTGTTGGCTTCTTTTTCTGTCTGAAAGAAATGTAGAACGCTTTTTATTGTAGAGTCTTTTTTGTAGTAATCCAGTGCGCGCCGTCTTATGTATATAATTGAATCCTATTTAGGTTCAAAACTGATTTCAAACTGATGGTAAAGACTTCATAAGGATCTCACAAATAACTCAAACATCCAAACTTTTTTTGTGTAAGCCAAACAAGAATACTAATGTGACACCACCTCAAAGTCAACAGGCAAAGTAAGCACGTCCACCAATGGAAGGTAGACAAGACTGTCAAAATCAGGAATCTCATCGCGATAGCTAAAACCCAAATATATTCGGGCTTTGAATTCAAATCTTAACTAAATTGTAGATGTAAAGAAGTCGCTAAAATTATAACTACCTTAGTAATTACTTCGCAACACTTGTCCAAACTACTCTCCACTTCCAATCTCCAGAAGTATACAAGAAAGCAAAGAAAGGCTATTCTCCATTGTAACAGCCCTCCAGGAATGGAACAAGTAAATCATACATTCCAACCATTAGCGGGGTGTGATAATTCTTGATGTTTTAGTTTCGTTATTGTTTAAACACTTCTGGAGGACTGCAGTAAGAAGCCCGGATCTAGAAATTAAAACAGATACGAGTCATTTCCCGTCAACATGAAGGTGGTAGCATACTGCAAGTATATGCTTTCACAATTTTAGAGGAGAACTCGCAATATGGACGTAAAGTTTATTAGCAAAACTTTCCTGATACCAACACAAAGGATATTGGTCCTAAAGTTGGGTGGTACACGTAACTTGCAGAAAATTGTTGGTACTAACTTTCTGGCTTTCAGCTTCGCGTTCAGTGTCTTGGGTAATTGTTTGTAAAGTGGATTTTATCGAAGGAACCTCTTCTTCTTCCTTGATTTTTCCTCGAAAGGAGAACCGAATAGGATCCTAGGTTCTGAATCGCTGTTTTCCACTTGCAAGCTTTGCCTCATTAAATTCATTAACTGAAGTTCTCTTTTATGCAGTTGAAATTGTCATTTAATGACTGACTACCATCTTTCAAACCTGCAGTCTAAATCCCACAGGGATCAACGAACGCTTTTCATTCCACTAATTTATTCGTGTTTTTCTTGTTGCCATGTTCCCACCAATAACGTAGCTCCATTTTCTGCCTTTGAAAGCACACACAACCCACAATTCCTCTATTTGCTCCGACGAAGGGCTAACGCTCGAAACGTCAGTTTTTGTAATCGTTACGGTGGCCAATTTACCATTTCAACTTTGTTGATACATCCAAATTATTACCTGAATAAAAGGCGCACTAAACCCGTCATTATTGATGTTTCCTCTCACACTTAGTGTAATGAATTTAAAATGTTTCATTCAAGGGTTGTCTTTATTTCCATTTACTTTTGTCTTGAAGGCTCTATGATCGGAAAAAGTGGTATTGCTTCTTGAATTTTATTTTTGGTTCTTGGCGCAATGGATACTGTTTCTCCCCTTATATGAGAGTTCCCAGGATCGATACCCAACCGTAGCAATTTTGTTTGTTTTCTTCCTTTTCCTTTTTCCCCATTTTTGTATCAACCATCTTCCAAAAGCATGTATTTTTTCTCAATTCTCCTTCAGCGCAATCATTAATTGCCCATTGGTAGCATTTAAGAGGCCAATTACCGAAGCGCAGCGTTTATATTTCCATTTCCGCCTCATTTTGCACAGCCTTGAAAACGTAGTCTCTCAGGCCATTTTTCATCTACCAGTAAAATTTGCCCTTCTCAAATATCGGCAGTCGATTAAATACGGGTTGAAACGAGAGACGACAAAACGGAAATAGGGTTGGAACACCTATTTAAACCAGGCTCTTTTCGTAGTCGATCGTTCAAGCAATCAGCCTAGACGATAAATGACATTTTTACTGAGGGGGTTTAAACTTGAACTTGAACTTGAGTTTAATGATGCGATGGAAATTGGATATTTGGAGAGATGAGTGTCAGAAAATAATCGAAGGCTTCAAAACATTTGCCGAACAACAATCTATGTCGCGTAAACCCTACTGTAAATTTGAATTTCAAATACAACCCTTACGTACAAGTGTGATTACGCAAGTACTCCATGCTCCCATGTCCTCCCGTGGTGCAAACCATGAGTCGGCATAAATCTGTACCCTGTAAGGCTTATGCCTCTTCAAAACGCTTTTACTATTGTAAATCATATGTAAAATCGACTCGTCTAGGGCACCACAGAGCCACGGAATCAGTACTCTTAAATCCACATTGTGTGAGGTTATGGAAAACCGTATTCGTTAAAGTGATCTTGCTGTAACTTTTCATTGCCTTGTGTGTGTGCCTCAGAGAATGGAGCCCACTGCCCACTCCTAAGGAGAGGGACGACATATATAGCTTTTAATTTTATTTTATTATCCAACTACACTCCGTAGAGCACAAATAACGCCGTAGACGAGTACAGATATCACGCGGTATTTGTACTCCAGAGAACCGGTTAGACAGTTTTTCTCGCATCACGCTAGCGAAAAATTGGATTGAAGTTACGAAAAAAAAATGGCGGACAATTTGAATCATATTTCCGACGACGAAGAGTGGGAATGGCTGGCAAATATATATCCAAGTTTATTAGATGAATTGAACGAAGAAAAAAAGTTAGACAACCAGGAAATAATTTTTTCAAAAATTGAAGAAAGTAGAAACAGCAACACGAAAACGCGCCAATTTCGTTCCGCTTCGCACACTTCTGTCACGCACTCCTCGTAAATAAATACTTTGGCGTGTTGGATAATAAATAACTTATTATACGTTTTGTTGTGTAGTATCGCTGAGTATTTTACTCGTTATTTGTATTTTGACGCCCTACGGGCTCGTCAAAATACGGCACAACTCGTAAAAATACCCCGCTACACTACACAACAAAATGTCTAATAAGATATATGTATTCAACATTTAATAACCTTTTTATCGAACCACAGAGCAAAGTGATTTCCCGAGAAAAACAGCCTAAGTAAGATTTTTTCTAAGGAAAGTACCCTCCGAGGCTTGTTCTAACTTTGAAGACTGTAGAGAGTTGACTGTTAGTGGGTTCTTTGCTATGAAATCCTCTTGGAAGAAAGTTTCCGCCGACTGTTGCATTTTTATGACACGATTGGGATTGAAAAGAGGTTACTTTGGAATAGGTTATAAATATAGGTATCAATTTGGGAGAAAAGTCTGACGATACTGTTGCCTAATGATATGCAATAAATTTCGTTCTTAAGCAATCTGTCCTAATGAAGCCCGAGATGTGATCTTATCGTATTTTACCCAAATGTATTTCATATAAGGGACTACGATCGTTTCTTGATTGTCTGCTTTACCCATTTTGTCTCCGTTAACGTCGGTTATATTGATTGAATGTTTCTTTTTGATGCTGCGTAATATTTTTGCACGATATCACTTATCAATTCCCTGTAAAGTACAAAAAGAAATAGAAGAAAATCATTTGAATGCTCAAAGTCAGGTTTTGAAAGGGTCGTTCGAAACTCCGAGTAGATGATGATTCACTTATCAAAAAGGGCGCGCTAAATATGCATGATGTTAATTTGTAATTTAACCAAGCGTTGCCATGTTGGGAAAAAGAAGTTTTGCGAAGAAACTTTTTAGCTTTCGCTTAATCTTCAGCTTTCGCTAAGTGATTGGGCAACCAAAGTCTACTAATTGTATGACTATGGAGTATGAATATAAGACAATTCGTCCTTGTTTTTGATTTATTAAGCACATATGCGATGACATATGCTATAACAGGTTTCTTTACTACACTTTTCAATTTGAAAAGGAGCCCACCCGGCTTGGACTGGGACTGTGGCATGAAGCAGGTACCAGTCATACCCCACACGTCGCTGTGCATTCAACTTATCAACTTATTATGAATAATGAAACGGCACTGCCGGCGCACAATAGAAACCTCGTGTAAAACATACGACATCACATCAAAAACAAAGTTTTACCCTCTAATCTTTTGCGTCGCGAAGACCTTCGATGTTTTTATAATTTCGTTTTTACCAACATTCAATATAAATGTCTATCCATTATTGTTCAAATAAGGACAGGATCTCGGAGGAGGAAATCACTGTCAATCTTCTGACTGGTAAGTTTTATTCCATGTTGGGTTATTTCTTTGGCCATGACCCTCGCGACGACACTTGAGCCACTATTATCTTAACAAACTGACCATAGCTTACTTACGATTCATTTAAAGTTTGCTTTATAAAAGCTATATGTACGTCACGTTATGAGATTTTATTATCTTAGGTTTAAATGGCGTGAACAGGGGTTTTATTACATAAGACAGCTACCAGGTTTGTTTGTAAAGGGTATTGTAAATAGAGTACTCGTCTAAAAAGAAAAACATGTCGAAAACTCGACAACTGATTATATTTCTAGAATTATTTCTACCCCAAGTCAGAAATTTAGCGGTCAGAACAGATACACCATTTATAGTGGGTAAGTTAATGAATAGGGAACTTGGTGAGGTCAATGAATAAGCAATATGAATAACTAAATAGAATGCTGTGCGCCCTAAACAGCCGTGTAAATGTATTCTAGAATTATCATTTCTTCGAACTAGTGGTCATGATTTACCTTGAATCGAGAAACAAGGTTGGGAGTTTTCGGAGGAAATTGTGTCCAACCGCTCGCGAGGACATACTCTTTTGATGGATCGTTCTTAGAAAAGTGATTGGTACACTTCACACGAGTTTTTTTTGTCAGTGAGCGCGTAACAAATGGAAAGGAGTGAATAGCAATCAGCAAGTTACCTTTCGCATGAAAACGTGACGTAAGAGATTAAAATTCGATATGGCGTCGATTAGCCCGACAATTAATTTTTAAAACTGCATGGTACAATTTGAATTTTTTCCTAATTATGTTCGTTTCTATAGTCCTTCTATTCAAATAACTTTATCGAGGACTTAAAACGTATTTTTCTGACTCCATTTTAGCAGTCGTTGACAGAGAAATCTTTAGCATTTAAATCAAAGGAAAGCTTAGTATTCTTTAAATTTCTGCTTCCTATTGAATTAATGTACAAATATTCTGTTGCAATGTTACCTAGTGCCCATTGATTTGTTACTAAATTAAATTTTGTACGTATTTAATTGTGATGTTTGAGTAATGTCAGTGCACGTTCTTGCCTAATTATTTTGATTTTACCCTCTATTTTTACAGATTGTGCTTGGCCCCCAAAGTGAGTGGGGCTTGTAATGAGGAAGAGTGCGGCAGGGGAGTATATCAAAGGCTGCTTTAGACCAGTCCGCGTTCTCTTACTGCTTCTTCTCGTCATTACCCTTATTGTTTTATTCAAAGAGCTTTGGGAGCGAGACGAACCTGTAAAGAAGCCGCCGCCTCCACCAGCTCTTGACCTTGGCTGCTTGTTCACAGTACACACTCCACAGGACACCCAGGCGTGGCAGCTTATATCATTCATTATCAGTCCAACGCCAAAGCAAAAATGCCATGTTGATGCATGGAATACTATCCGTGCCACAGGGCACGGTGCCTCTAATTTTAGAATACAAGCCTTTGGTTCTCATGAAATGGTTACAGGAAAAGTTCATCACATTGCAAATGATACTTACAACGCTACTCTGCGGTTAACTTTTGCGGACGAATATATAATCCTGGTCATTTTGACCTATGTAAATAACGACAGTCTTGAGTATCGATATCACGCGAAAGCTGTTTTACAGCATGTGCTGAACAGTCCTTTTGATCTGTCTGTTACCCAGGCTCCACCTCCTAGAGACCACACTCGTTACTGCACTCAGGAGGAAAGCGGAACTTCCCAAGGAAGGTGGGTGGAATGCGGAAGTATCCCAGGGATCGAGAGATGCGGTCAGTGGCAGCTTGACCCCGCTTACGACTTCGATCAAATTCACGGTTTTCATTGGCTGCCATATTTCTGCCAGTTGCATCACTACAGCAGCGATGAGATCAAAAAATGTTTTGCAAAGCAAGGTTGGTCCGAGGTCGTTTTCACCGGCGACTCGCACATGCGTTATAGGACATATCACTGGGTGACACGACTGCACGGCTCCTGTCACGGTTGTATTAAAACACACGTAAAAATGGTGTTTGACAAGATTCCACGTATTGAGTGGGTATTTGACGCGCGTGGAACGCGATGGCCGCTAACGTTTCTAAACATCTCAATGCCCCACGAAGTTTACGTTCACCCGGGAACAAGACGGTCTATGTTTTCCAAGGGACTACCATCATCAGTATTCAGCGGTAAACTGTTCCTCATGAACTTTGGCCACTGGATTTTGCGAGAAAGCACAAAAGAAACATTCATAATGGATAAAATCCGCGCCTTTCTAGAGGCAATTCAGGCAATGAACCGAACGGGCGAAGGGAAAAAGAGATTTTTATGGTTAAACACGGTAAGCCTACCTTGGAGAGAAGACCGAGCCATGGTAGAATGGCTTGAAAATCCGTCCCCGGCTCGTGTGGCGCAACTAAACAGTCTAACAGACCAGGCTGTCAAGGACAGTGGCGTTCAAATCATTGATGCGTTCCAGATTTCAAATAGTCGCATAGGTGCCACACACGACCAAACACATTATGCCAAGAGGATGAAGAGGGGTGACTGTGGAGGAGTGGTGGAAAACGCTATAAGTAATGTTGTAGCTAATTCTCTGTGTAACTATGACAACTGGTGAGGAAATTGTCGGTCAGGAGTGCACTCTTCTCACGATTGAGAGAGAACTGGAGTCTGCATGAAATAGGAGAGAGGAGCTTCGTGATTACGAACATGAAATCACTTGGGAGTGACACAATGATCCTCAAGTCCTCTCATCCTTTAAAAAATACTCCAAAGAAAAAAAGAAATTATTAAATAAACACACGAAAGCTATCCAAAGCTTTCTAACTCAACTTTTATGAAACTAAAATATAGTTGTAAATGATGCATAATGTCGAACGTAAAGCTTTTGGATAATTATTATGTAAGTGAAAATGATACACGTTAAGCGTGGTAATTTAATTGAAGATGACGTATTAATTGAATGACACAGGCATAGTCGGAGAGAAGAAGAAAACTGGAAGTGCTCCCAATTGGATTCGAGCTTGAAATCTTCCGATTAGAACTTCTCCCCTTTCTCTACCGCTGAGCCATAGGAGAGTCGCTATAGGCTGAATGGTAATTTTAAGTGAAAATGATGTATTCAGAAGATGATACAGGCATAGTGGGAGAAAATAAAGGAACTTCGATTGCTCCCAATAGGGTTCCCAACCTACGACCCTCTGATGAGTACTTCCAATGCTCTACGGCTGAGTTATAGGAGACTCCTAGCAAGCTACATGGTAAATGTTAAGCTTGGCAATTTGAGTAAAATATGATGTATTTAGTGAATGACACGGGCAGGGTTTGAGATAAAGAGGTAGCGAGAGTGCTCCCAATAGGAATCGACACTACGAACTCCCGATCAGTAGTTCGGATGCTCTACCACTGCGCGGTAGGGGACCTGTGGGAAGATAGGCCTTGAAATAGATCCATGATGACAAACGTTCAGAATACTGCTAGAATGGGAATGGCAAAGGTGCTGCTTATGCCCAATAATGATGTAAATGATGATAGCAAATTTAAGCTTGGTTATTGAAGTAAAAGATGATGTATTGTATGATTCATTTGACACATTTGTTTTATTTTATATAAAACTCAGTAAACCGTATCTTTGTTTAATCGCCTTTTAATTATATGAATTATAAGATAAATTTCCTGAATAGTATCTTTTACATCTGACTAAGAAATGAATCTTTCAAAAGTGTAAATTGATCAAAATTAAAGGCAGCTTATTGTAAATATTTACAAAGTTAATCTTCTCTTACACAGTAACAGAAGATAAAATAAGATCGTGGAATAAGAAATGACTAAATAGCTTTTAAGTTTTTGCTGAATACCTTGCACCACATACTTTTTTCCATTCGTATTCCCAACACCTCAATGTTCTACAATAGCATGCAAAGTAATTCTTGCTTGATACCAATTTTGTCTTTTCACACAAGTGCACAAGTTCGGCTCTCAACACTCAAATCTAATTTCTTATCCAAGTTAAAGGAGGTATAAAAGTAATCCAGGGCGCGGAGGTGACTAGGGAAGAGTAAGGGGTCAAAGTTCCTAGCTTGGTTTTCTCGGCATCTCACGAGGGCTGAATAATTCCTCCTAATTAGGGAAATTAGCGGCTGGCAGCCAAAAAATGTATAGTAAACTATTGATTTGACACCATCACTTCCTCACCCACCTATCTACCTTCCCTTAGGTAATATGACCCAACTAAAAGATGTAGAGAGGTTGTGAGTATCTTTAGGCTGTTTGTTCCTCTGAGTTGAGAGACCTAGCTGCCAGTTGGTCAGGTAATTACCATGGCATGTCCTTGATATTATAAATGCCGTTAACAACATTTCTTGTAGATGTTTTCCAGTTAGAGTTACTGGCTTACTCTTGTCTAATAGTTCTTTTACAGCTTCACGGGCGATCCGCTGTAAACAGCCTCATGGGCCCTTTCACAGTGTAATTAGTTAATCAAATAAACGCGTAAATAGATAAATAATGTTGAGGATTCCAAATTGTCGCTTGTGGTTATGATCTCATCTTTAAGTGTATTTTTGACACGAAAAGATAAAAAGGAAATTTATTATTATGTTTATCAAATAGATAGAAATGAAATATTTAAAACATAGAGAAGTTTAGAAAACATTTCAACAGGACTCTTGAACAACCCCAAATCTGTCCGTTATGTTATCACTAGCACGTAAACTCATCTCGCAAAAATTCTAATTTAACTTCCTTCATAACTTTTCCCTTGTAATGTTCGTCCTTGACTTTTATGCTTTCAGAGCAATTTCACGAAATGGAAACCAAAACATCTCAAGACTTATTCAGTTTAATTCAGTCGATTTTCACCTTTAAAACACGAGTGTAAGAAAAAGATTGAAGCGTTCAACAATTTGTGATTGGTGCCGTCGCATAAATCGCCAGTTTCGAGTAAAAATATTTACGTTTTGCTTAAACACGGCGATGAATTAACCACAAAATGTCGACAATTTGGTTCCGATGGGACTTTTTCAGACTCGTTCTTCTTGGTGAATGACTCTGTTTGGGAATCACGGTGAGAAGACAATGTTTTCTACCTTTGATCTTGCGTATTTTTAAATAAAATAAGCTCGTCCGTGTTGAGAGGTTGTATTGCTGAGACAGTTCTAACAGAACTACATATGAGGTATCGCGTAGAAATCCATCACACATACAAATTTTTTAGCTGAATTGAATCCTAAAAATCTTAGCAATTGAATTTCATAGGGAAGGGGAGGGGGTCGACTTTTTCGGTTTTGTGTTTCACGGCTCATCTCTCTGACTATGACGAAATATTTAGATACCATTTTGCGTACACTATGTTTATTGATACCACTATCAAATATAAAATGAAGGTAGCAATCACTATGGAGAGTTATATTTCGCTTTGTTTAGCCATGGAAGATTCTAGAGAAGGAAGAAACAATCAACAACAAAGTTCAGTAATCCTGGTATCATACGATCTGAAAACAGATTTGAGTTAGATCTCATTATAGTCATTTCAACCAAATGAGGTTTTCAAGTGGATTTAGGAAAGGAAACTTATCATTCTTTGGTTCTGACATAAGTGCGCGAGTTAGGTGATTAAATGTCTCTGGGATGTTGTCTATTCAACGATACGCATCAGTAGAATAATACTCAGGATTTACAGGGAGAGGTTTTATCCGCCTCTCGCACTTGACAAGTCAACGATTGATACCGTTAGCAGCAGTCAGTGTTGTCGTTCGGTGGCTGAACCTTTAAACTGTGATATATGAATAACATTAACGACCCCTTGTAGTTTCATATATGCTCGTAACAATTTACTTTGCTTTCAGTGCTTTTTTCACTTGAAGTAGATTCCGAAACTTTTCGATATAATAATTGTCTTGTAGTTGTCAGGCCATTTCTCAAATTAAATAAATCAGTTTCCATTATTATATTCCGCACGACTGCACTTTCTTTCTTTTTTTAGAGAGGAAAGCATTACGCTTAGCTCGAAGTTCTGGCCAAAAATGTAGATGACGTTGAAATATGTGATGACGTAAAGTAGCAAGAGTGGCCTCATTTTCTATCGATAGTATTGCACTAATTCCTGGCATTCATAGGGGCGATATCCGCCTAACCTTCGCGTTTCTGAGTTAATCAGCTGTCCTTTTAATCGGCGGCCCTGAACAGCAACTGTTGCATAGAATTTTTTCAATTCCTTCTCAATCGCAGATATCCGCGAGCTTGCGGTATGAAAATCACGACGAGCGTTTGACTTTTAACAGGCTTTGAAATAATCTCATTTAATTGTAAGTAGTTACTTATAACTTGTTTTACAAAGTATGCAAACTGGTTCAAATATCATGGCGAGGAGAAAGTTTTGCAATGAAGCTTACCATCTTCCTGGTCCAATTTTTCCATCACTGTTTCAGCTTTCTTTGGTTAAATACAGTGCTAAGAACTAACTTGCACACATATATCACATAAGTCCATGTTTTACTTGTGAGAAGTTCTAATTAAAACCTTCATTCTGTCAAGGAAAACAAATTAACATGTCATGAGTGTATGCTGATATGCTCTAAACGGGAACGTGACAACAGATCGTAAACAGCTTATTTACAAGAAGCAGTCTGAAAGGTAGTTTCAAATAAAATAGGAAGAATGACAACTACTATCATTAATTACAAGTAATTACAGATATACAGGGGATACGAGATTGTATGAAAAGGATGCTCAAATTAGTTTTGATAAAGCACAGGTGACTAGAATCTGTGTTTATGACGCTAAGATGGCGCTATTCCAAATGTCATCCAACGATCCCGTGGTTGGTAGTTGGAATATTTACATTAGACGCAACGATCTTGTTTGTGAAAATGGAGAGATGTTGCTTCCTCTCTCGTCCTGTACATGCACAGTTTCCTTGGTATAGTTTGCAATAGAAACAATTTCCGCTATGTCTTACTGGCTCAATCTTTATTCTTCCTCTAGAGCTGAGTCTGTTTCTTTTATTTGACAGGGGATGATATGGACGTACATTTCAATAAAAATAATTGACCTGGCTGCCTTTACGTCAGCGGTATATATCAATAGCTCCCATGGCGCAGCATAGAAACTACGTCCATCACGTCTGATTAACTCAGTCTTTTTTCCCTCCAGGGCTAAGCCTGTTGCTTTTCCTCCGGGGCTGAGTCCGTTTCTTTTATTTGACAGGGAATGCTACGGACGGACATATCGATAAAAATTGACCTGGCTACCTTTACGTCAGCGGTATATATTAACAGCTCCCATGGCACAATTAAGCAGAGGAACAACTTCCATCGTGTCTGATCAACTGTCTTTTTTTTTTCTCTATAGGGCTAAGTCTGTTGTTTTTTTTTAACAGTGAAGGCTACGGACGTGCCTATCAATATAAATTAACCTGGCTGCCTTTACGTCAGTAATTATACATTGACAGCGCCGCATTAATGGCGCCCGTGAGATAGAAATAACTTTCATCGCGTCTGACCAATTAAGTCACTTTTTTTCCTTCCCGTGCTTGCTCTATTGTTTTTGATATTCTAATTACATAACTTGATATAACACGTGCTCTTCTACACCAGTACGCATCATTTTGGCAGAAGAATGCTGTTGCTCTTCCGGCTTAGACTGCACCATGGGTCAAGCTATTTGCGACCAAGGATTTTCAGCTTTTAAAGATGTATTTTAAAGATATCATTTATTTTCTTCGCAAGCAAAATTCATTTTTCATAAGTAATGTAATGGTATCATCTGAAAATGAATTATGCTACACGTTCCTCGGTACGTTTGATGATAATGATAATAACAACAATGATAATAATAATAATAATAGTAATAATACATGATTATTTACTTATGACCCTTTTGCGGTCATTGCTCGCGAGGAAAGTTATGCGACAGACTGGGAAAGGAAAAGTCTGCCAAATGCATATTTAAATGTATCTGTGAAACATCTGTTGTGTTTGGTGAGAAAAAATACAATGGCTGTTTCTGGTGTATCCACGTTTTTGTGGCTTTCTTCGTGGCGGTCTGCGGTGCTACAAGGTTGATAAACATAGCGAGTGATGGGTAAACGAAATCCAGCTCATAAATGAGGAAATTTAAGCTATTCAACCAGATTTACCTTGTCCATGCACGCATTGGATAGACAGTGATCATGGCGCGAGGTTTTCCAGATTAACAGGGACTCAAAAAAATGTTTACTTGTGGCGAACTTTTTGCAGCAACATGGGTCACTCAAAGAAAAAGGACAGGAAAATCTTGATTTTCTTCATAGCCTCGCGCACAAGAGGAAACCTAAACAATTTCCAGGTTTTTTGCAGCAGGTTTTACTCTTTATTGCAAGTTCTCCTCTTTATTTTGGTGGTGCAACAAAATCACAAGCCGCACTCTAAAAATAACACAATCCAAATCCTTTTTACATTGCATAGAGTAACATCATCAGATAGTACACACGCAGACCCCATAGATTGCTACAAACGTCGCCACAGACGTTTTTTGTTACAAAGCGGAGGCGTTTAGGAGGTTATTGGGGGTGATAAAAGAGGACAGCTTAATTGCTACATTCTTAAGCCTGAAATTTTTAACAAAGCGTGCAGTTATTCGCGTA